ACAGAGAAAGAGTTTGATGTCAGAGTCTGGGTGTTTAGGTGGAGTAGGAAGTTGGGGCAAAGCAACCTTGAACCCAAAAAAATGAAAATATTACTTGATATGAATGATTTATTGACACAGATTGCAAAACAAAGCTCTCAGAACGTCATTGTAAGATTAATAATATGCCTCCCAAAGTTGCAATGTAACCCAAGCTCTCTTTGGGGAAAATATTAGTGGCCTTGGAGAAAACTTTCATGTGTGGAAGTGCTCATTGGCCAGGAACAAAGGGAAAATCCTTCACAGGGTAATGCCAAGCAGCTAGGATCTGTTGGGGGCCATGAGTCCTGCCAGTACCTTCACCTCTGCTGAAGAGGTTATCATATGGAGCTGTTACCTTTGATTTTATAATCCAGATGAGTTTTCTTTTTTTTCTTAAGAGATTGACTTTGGGCTTTTTGCTCTTAGTTTTTGTTTGCTTTCTTTTCAGTTTTTTTTTTTCTTAATTGCTCTTGTGTTTCTTTTCCCCCTTGCTGACCTTAGAAATGAGAGCCTAAGATCCTGAAAATTTGCAAAGTATTTCTCATCCTCACTGCCTTGGAATGCCTTTTATTCCCTCCTCTGTCTGTCTAATTTCTACTTATGTTTACTATCATCTTCTCTATGAAAACTTCTCTGATCAAGCCTCTCTTCCCATCCCATGCATTAAATGTGTACCCTATGCCAGCACTTACCAGACTACTCTAATATATTGGTTACTTGTCTATCTCCTACCCTAGGCAAGCCATGAAGAAGTCAAGGGGAATGTTTCTCATCTCTGTACCTGCAGAATTTGACAAATAACCTTGTACATAAGAGGCCACACAGGTAAATACTTATGAAACATGAATGAATAAGTATAATAAAGAGAGAGAGAGAGAGCAGAAAAGAGGGAGGAAAGAAAAAGGAAGGGAGAATAAAAGGAAAAGGAGAAGAAGGGAGAAAGGAAGGGAAAGAAAACAAACTTATTTGAAAGTAGTTCCCAATAAGGTATCTTTCTGAAAAAATATTATTTAATATTGAGACAATGAAGGTGTGAGGCAGGAGGAAACATATGAGGAAATTTGAAAAAGCTAAATTTAGAGATAAACATTTTTCTTTTTTTTTTTTTTTTTTTTTTTTTTTTGAGAATTTTGAGCATTTAATGGTTTGGGAAGAAATAAGCTGACTCACAAACAAATGACAGAAGAGTAAGATATGCAAAAATTTTAAGGACAACTTGTCAATTCCTATTCAAAAAAGGTATATGAAATAACCAGAAATGTTACTCTTAAGAATTTGTGTGATACCACTTTTAAATTCTTGCATTTTAGTCAGAAGCTACCATTTTTATGGATGTTAGCAGTTTATCGACCTGATATTTGTGAATGGTCTGTTTGGGAAGGTAAAATTATGTAATGCAGTTCTCAAAACAGGAGCACTGTTAATAAAAATTTCCTTTTCTCTTTTTTTTTAACTGTGTGATGCTCCTCAAATTAATGGCAATTTATGGCAAATTAATGCTGCTGAATTTCCAAAGTGTACCATTTTTTACTATGCTTTAAATAAATAGAAAATAATTCTGCTACTGATCTTCAATTTTGCCATTCATGCTTTTATATTCCACTCAAGATTCCACTTTGCAAGTGTGAGAGTGTCTAAGTTTTGAATGGTACATGCCATTTCTGGAAAATGTATATGGAAGCTAACTATTGCTTTGTACAAATGATGACCCCCTTGTTCTAAGAAGAAATGCATCTAGGAGCAGTTGTTTGGCAATGTAGGAAGCAAGCACTAGCTTGCTTTTTATTGGCATTTTTAAAATGGTTAATGTAAGCAAAGCTGAACTGTAAATCTTCATTCAGGGATATGTATTAAGATTATGGAAGGTGTATAAACTATTGGTGGGGAGAAAGTGGGTTTCGTTAGGTTAATCTTCTATGACCCTATGATCCACTCTTTCCTTGAAGGATTTTGAAAAGTGGAAATATCAGTTTGTTGCATTTCCCCTGTTGTTTTTAAAGGAACAAATCCCAAGTCCTACAAATGGCTTGTACTGGACTTTTATGATTGAATTAAAGATTGTTAAACATGAAGAAAGGAATTTATCTGAGAAACACACTTGAAAATGCTTTTCAAAATATATAATGTGGAAATAACCTAAATAATAATTATGTATCTGTGCAGAAAGTACAGAACAGCATTATAGCTTAATCCCCTCTATGTAAATGAACAAAGAAATACATGTTCATAGACATAAACACTCACATGTGGTAATATTTGTATAGGAAAACTTCTAAGAAAGATTGATTACATGAGAAAATTGTTCAAATTAAATAAGAAATTTTTTTTTTTTTTTACGCAGGCAGAGAAGCCCAAGGAGTCAACATTATAAGACCTTGCCTTCTCTTTTTGTAATGCCAGCTCCATAGATTTCTTTTTTTTTTTTTTTTTCATTTTTCTTTTATTATTCATATGTGCATACAAGGCTTGGTTCATTTCTCCCCCCTGCCCCCACCCCCTCCCTTACCACCCACTCCACCCCCTCCCGCTCCCCCCCTCAATACCCAGCAGAAACTATTTTGCCCTTATCTCTAATTTTGTTGTAGAGAGAGTATAAGCAATAATAGGAAGGAACAAGGGGTTTTGCTGGTTGAGATAAGGATAGCTATACAGGGCATTGACTCACATTGATTTCCTGTGTGTGGGTGTTACCTTCTAGGTTAATTCTTTTTGATCTAACCTTTTCTCTAGTTCCTGGTCCCCTTTTCCTATTGGCCTCAGTTGCTTTAAGGTATCTGCTTTAGTTTCTCTGCATTAAGGGCAACAAATGCTAGCTAGTTTTTTAGGTGTCTTACCTATCCTCACCCCTCCCTTGTGTGCTCTCGCTTTTATCATGTGCTCATAGTCCAATCCCCTTGTTGTGTTTGCCCTTGATCTAATGTCCACATATGAGGGAGAACATACGATTTTTGGTCTTTTGGCCAGGCTAACCTCACTCAGAATGATGTTCTCCAATTCCATCCATTTACCAGCGAATGATAACATTTCGTTCTTCTTCATGGCTGCATAAAATTCCATTGTGTATAGATACCACATTTTCTTAATCCATTCGTCAGTGCTGGGGCATCTTGGCTGTTTCCATAACTTGGCTATTGTGAATAGTGCCGCAATAAACATGGTGTGCAGGTGCCTCTGGAGTAACAGTCTTTTGGGTATATCCCCAAGAGTGGTATTGCTGGATCAAATGGTAGATCGATGTCCAGCTTTTTAAGTAGCCTCCAAATTTTTTTCCAGAGTGGTTGTACTAGTCTACATTCCCACCAACAGTGTAAAGGGTTCCTTTTTCCCCACATCCTCGCCAACACCTGTTGTTGGTGGTGTTGCTGATGATGGCTATTCTAACAGGGGTGAGGTGGAATCTTAGTGTGGTTTTAATTTGCATTTCCTTTATTGCTAGAGATGGTGAGCATTTTTTCATGTGTTTTCTGGCCATTTGAATTTCTTCTTTTGAGAAAGTTCTGTTTAGTTCACATGCCCATTTCTTTATTGGTTCATTAGTTTTGGGAGAATTTAGTTTTTTAAGTTCCCTGTATATTCTGGTTATCAGTCCTTTGTCTGATGTATATTGGCAAATATTTTCTCCCACTCTGTGGGTGTTCTCTTCAGTTTAGAGACCATTTCTTTTGATGAACAGAAGCTTTTTAGTTTTATGAGGTCCCATTTATCTATGCTATCTCTTAGTTGCTGTGCTGCTGGGGTTTCATTGAGAAAGTTTTACCTATACCTACTAACTCCAGAGTATTTCCTACTCTTTCTTGTATCAACTTAAGAGTTTGGGTCTGATATTAAGATCCTTGATCCATTTTGAGTTAATCTTGGTATAGGGTGATATACATGGATCTAGTTTCAGTTTTTTGCAGACTGCTAACCAGTTTTCCCAGCAGTTTTTGTTGAAGAGGCTGCTATTTCTCCATCGTATATTTTTAGCTCCTTTGTCAAAGATAAGTTGCTCATAGTTGTGTGGCTTCATATCTGGATCCTCTATTCTGTTCCACTGGTCTTCATGTCTGTTTTTGTGCCAGTACCATGCTGTTTTTATTGTTATTGCTTTGTAATATAGTTTGAGGTCAGGTATTGTGATACCTCCTGCATTGTTCTTTTGACTGAGTATTGCCTTGGCTATTCGTGGCCTCTTGTGTTTCCATATAAATTTCACAGTAGATTTTTCAATCTCTTTAATGAATGTCATTGGAATTTTGATGGGAATTGCATTAAACATGTAGATTACTTTGGGGAGTATCGACATTTTTACTATGTTGATTCTACCAATCCATGAGCATGGGAGATCTCTCCACTTTCTATAGTCTTCCTCAATCTCTTTCTTCAGAAGTGTATAGTTTTCCTTGTAGAGGTCTTTCACATCTTTTGTTAGGTTTACACCTAGGTATTTGATTTTTTTTGAGGCTATTGTGAATGGAATTGTTTTCATACATTCTTTTTCCGTTTGCTCATTGTTAGTGTATAGAAATGCTAATGATTTTTCTATGTTGATTTTATATCCTGCTACTTTGCTATAGCTATTGATGATGTCTAGAAGCTTCTGAGTAGAAGGAGAAGAAGGGAGAAAGGAAGGGAAAGAAAACAAACTTATTTGAAAGTAGTTCCCAATAAGGTATCTTTCTGAAAAAATATTATTTAATATTGAGACAATGAAGGTGTGAGGCAGGAGGAAACATATGAGGAAATTTGAAAAAGCTAAATTTAGAGATAAACATTTTTCTACCACAGTTCTTTTGTGAAAATTAAATGGGCCTTGAGAATAGCAGTCAATAAAGGAATTTGAGTTGTCACATTCTCTCCTTTGGAAATAGAGGGTCTTAATGCTTATGAAAAAGAGTTTTAATTGGGAGTGTGGTGACATAGAAGGGGAAGAAGGAGTAAAATGCACTCAGTCCTCAGGTTTCCAGAGAACTCTCTGATTGTGCTCCATGTCCTAGCAGGTTGCCAGTGTGGCCTCACCGTCTACAGTTCCCCCTCCTCGGTGCAAGCTATGAGTTCCTGCAACTTCACACATGCCACCTTTGTACTTATTGGAATCCCAGGACTAGAGGAAGCCCATTTCTGGTTTGGCTTTCCCCTTCTTTCAATGTATGTTGTAGCATTGTTTGGAAACTGCATCGTGGTCTTCATTGTGAGGACAGAGCGAAGCCTGCATGAACCCATGTACCTCTTTCTCTGCATGCTGGCAGCCATTGACCTGGCCTTGTCCACATCTACCATGCCCAAAATCCTCGCCCTCTTCTGGTTTGACTCCCGGGAGATTACTTTTGATGCCTGTCTTGCCCAGATGTTTTTTATTCATGCTCTGTCAGCCATTGAATCCACTATCCTTCTGGCCATGGCCTTTGACCGATATGTGGCCATCTGCCACCCTTTGCGCCATGCTGCCGTACTCAACAACACAGTAACAGCCCAGATTGGCATGGTCGCTGTGGTCCGTGGATCACTCTTCTTTTTCCCACTGCCACTGCTCATCAAGCGACTGGCCTTCTGCCACTCCAACGTGCTCTCACACTCTTATTGTGTGCACCAGGACGTGATGAAGTTGGCCTATGCTGACACACTGCCCAATGTAGTCTACGGTCTTACTGCCATTCTGCTGGTCATGGGCATGGATGTCATGTTCATTTCCTTGTCCTATTTTCTGATTATACGAACAGTTCTGCAACTACCTTCTAAGTCAGAGCGGGCCAAGGCTTTTGGGACCTGTGTGTCACACATTGGTGTGGTCCTGGCCTTCTATGTGCCACTCATTGGCCTCTCGGTGGTGCACCGCTTTGGAAACAGCCTAGACCCCATTGTTCATGTTCTTATGGGAGATGTCTACCTACTGCTGCCTCCTGTGATCAATCCCATCATCTATGGTGCCAAGACCAAACAGATCAGAACACGGGTGCTGGCTATGTTCAAGATCAGCTGTGACAAGGACATTGAGGCTGTGGGACACAGGTGACCCTTACTATTCCACATCCCCTTATCCTGGCTGACTTGATAAAATTATTTCCTAAAACTGGCTTAATTCCAGTTGTCCATAGCATATCAATGCTTTTCCCTGGCTGGAAACATGAACCAAATTATGGTCCCTCCATTTCATGGAATATTATGTAAAATAATCCATATTAATGGAATATTATGTTATTTAAACACTGATATAAAATGAAAGATGTTTCTAATATTAAGTAAAACAACAGGGATATATGATTGACATATACCTTGAAAGAAATGCATTCAAATTACTAACAATTTGGTTTTGTACCTACTTTCTAAATTCTTGGTCATAGAGGTATTGTTCAGCTGGCATATGTAGCTTTTAACAATTGGAAAATGAAACTGATAATTTATAGAAGTCAGGGCTTTCACAGTCTTCAGCGTTGCTTTATTATTCATTACCTGGGAATTTATCCAATTAGTAATAATGCTTATGAATATCTCTTGTGTGCTTACTATGTTCCATGTGCTGTGATAGTGCTTTTCAGTGTTTATGGAGTAAGTACCATTTTTGTTCCCTCATTACAGGTGTAAGAAATGAAATGAAGCTTTCATTAGCAAGATGACTTAACTGAGTCACAGAACTTTGTGTGCTATGTGAAGATCTGAAATTAAATTTGATAATTGAATGCAGTTACCTTACCACCATGCTATATTGCTTCCTGTTTAACATCTGTCATTTATTTCCTCTGTATAAATCCTGTTTTCTCTTCTGTGTACTAAGATGGATGTCTTTGTATTTGTGCTAAGAGATAACCTTGCCCTGATTGAGGGCAACAAATCCACATTAGTTTGTTCATTGTGTTTTACAGCTACCTTTCATGGGGGCATAGTCATGTATTTAATTCTTTCCAGATTAAAGGAGAATAGTTTTTGTCTATTTATCTCTCACATTTCCTTGAACATGTCTTCCTTTTTCTTTTTTTTTTCTGTTTTTTTTTTTTTTTTTTTTTTAGTGTTTCCAGTATCTGGCAAATACTTTGAATGCCCAGCATCTGATACTACCTGAATTTTCACTTAGGAAAAATTATTCTTAATTTTATTAAGTGTTATGCTTACTGGTTTTATGTTGATAGAATCCCATAAACTAGGATGGAGATGTGAGAGATTCTCCAGGCTTCTTTCCCATCAGTGCAGGGTCCTGACAGGTATTGCTTGCATAACTGTATAGATGCTGAACGTATCTTATTTCAAGGTAAGATACTCATGTTGTATTATGAGCAGCTCCAAAGACTAGCTGAAATTTGATCATAATCACTGGGCCTGTATGGGCTTGAGTGGATGCAGAGCTTCAATTTGGAATGATTAAAAAAAAAGTTCTGGAAATGGATAGTGGTGATGGTTGTAGAACAGTGTGAATGTATTTAATTCTAGTGAATTGTATACATAATGTTTAATGCTTAAAATTGTGTGTTATGTATTTTTATTGTAATAACAATCATAAAATTAAAATATTGCATTATTGATTCTATATCAAAAGCATATTGAAGTTACTTTATTTTGGATAAAATGGGTTAAAGAAAAAATAGCCAAGTTATGGAAACAGCCAAGATGTCCCACTATTGACGAATGGATTAAGAAAATGTGGTATCTATACACAATGTAATTTTATGCAGCCATGAAGAAGAACGAAATGTTATCATTCGCTGCTAAATGGATGGAATTGGAGAACATCATTCTGAGTGAGGTTAGCCTGGCCCAAAAGACCAAAAATCGTATGTTCTCCCTCATATGTGGACATTAGATCAAGGGCAAACACAACAAGGGGATTGGACTTTGAGCACATGATAAAAGCAAGAGCACACAAGGGATGGGTGAGAATAGGTAAGACACCTAAAAACTAGCTAGCATTTGTTGCCCTTAACGCAGAGAAACTAAAGCAGATACCTTAAAAGCAACTGAGGCCAATAGGAGAAGGGGACCAGGAACTAGAAAAAAGGTTAGATCAAAAAGTATTAACCTAGAAGGTAACACACACA